TCGTGTTCAAGATGCTAAAAAGGCTACATTGGGAAATTTTTGGATCCGTGGTAATCCCTAATTTGCTTCTCTTCTAACAATTTTCAATAACGATGACGAGTAGGAAGTTATATATCCCCATTGTGATGTAGTAGTGGTGCGAGCTATAATAGCTTAAAATGGCATAGGCAACAAGTTGGTGGATAATGGCAGTTCTGTCAATATATTATTTGAAAGTGCTTTTAACCAAATGTAGATTGATCATCCTTGGAGATGCTCTAATCCCAATAGGACAGATTACATTAGCAATGAAAATAAGTGATGAACCAATTGTATTTTCAGCGAATAAAAGGACTTCTTAATCATGGATAATAGGTCCGCATTACAAGGGATCCTTGGAAGGCCCTCTTTAAAATAGCTCAAAGATGTAACCTCTATCCATCACCTATGTCTCAAATTTGAAACTCTGAAGGGGTGGTTATGGTCAAAGGAGATCAAGCCCTCACGCGTGAATACTATTTCGTCGTTTTAAGGAAAGTGGCCCTAAAGGCTTTTCTTGCTAACACTATACTGGTTGTTGAAGAAAACATGCTTGAAAATCTTCAGACAAAAAAAAAGCATTCAATGCTATGAAAGGTAGGTTGAAAAACCTATTTGCCAGTAAATATAGTTTTACAAGTACTATGGAAAGCATTGTAACACCAAAGATGGGCCTGAAACATGGCCCAGCAATTTTGAAAAGGAAAGTTTGAAAGGCGAGCCTTTTTCTGCCCACCGTGATATTCTAATTATTGGCAAGGTTAATCCTGCCAATATTTTCGAGTTCCAAGGTGAGATTCTTTCCACCGAGAAAGTTATAAGTAAAGGTTAGGTTGATACCACCAGCAAAATGATTTGAAGGCAAAAGTTATTCGGCCACGGGAAATGGGATTGAAATCCATTCCTTCGTAATTCCAAAAATTATGCGAAGTGTGGTCTTCGGCCCGAACTAACAAACATGCAAGGCAATAGTAGTACAAAATCAAAGCAAGTGAATACGTAACACAAACCCATGTAAAAAGTAAAATAGAAAAAAAAATAGTAAGAAAACCTAATAAAGCCAAATACACTCATCTAGATTGAATTAAATGGCTTAAAAGGCAATCAATGGCCAGAAATGTCTGCTAATACAGCCCTAGCCTTAACTTTATGCAGATGAATAATATCAAAATCCTTGAGCCAGTAAATCTCAACAAAAGGGGGAAAATGAACTCAGGCTAATAGGGAAATTTTAAAAGGTTAGGTATCGCTGACATCCTCTTCGCAAACCTCTAGAAAGTCCATGTTCCATTCAGGATGAAATTTCCTAGTAATAGTGAGAACTCTATTTTTCCCTTCCTGGATGGATTCTTTAATAAGATTAGCCTCATAAGCCTTCCTTCAACAACTGCAGACTCCACAATAGAAAGCTTAGCCTTGCTACTTTCTAACCTTTAATGGAACAAAGTCAGTTCATCCTCTACCTGGGCATTTTCTTTCACCACAACAAGGTAACCAATTTTAACTGACTGAATCACTTCATTTAGTGTGTCGATTTCACAATCCTTCTGCTGGGAAGTAGTCTATGTTATCCAATTGAGTTTGTGTTAACTTTGAGGCCAATCTTCTGAATGCAAGGATAGTAGCTCTGACTTTTGCATAGTCCTCAGTTCTTCGACACATACCCCTATATTTTAGCTTATCCTCCTCAGTCACATGGGTTTGCATGATGCATGTCACATTCTTTCTCCAAAGATTGTACTCTTTAGGTTAAACTATTAAATTGGTTTATACAAAGATTATGTTCTGCTTGCTGGTCTTGAAATAATATCGTAGCTCAAGATAAATAAGTGTCAATCATCTCTCTTCTTTGTATGAGAGTAAGATCGTTAGACAATTTCTCCCAGGATAGATTAAAATTTGCATAGCATGACCTAACCATTTTAGCAACGAAATAAGGAAAGTAGGACAAAATTCATGTGGCTAGCTCATCATGGCGGCGAGAACCAAGCAAAGACTCAAAGTCAAGTAAAGAAGAAAATATTGGAGCACGAATGAGAGATGTAGAAGATGTAGTTTCTAAGGATGATAACCCTGAAACCAAAACCTCGACAGCAAAATATTGCAGTCCCCGGATCCTCATGGAGAAAAAGGTTTGATAGTCGAGTTCTCGATAGCAATAGAGAGGTAGCCCCTACATGTTCACCGGAGTCCAAATCCACTGGCGGAGATATTGTCTAATGCTTAGGAGGGTTCGTATCAAAGTCTACCCATACTGAAAACACGAAAAATGGGAGGTTAGAACAAAAAATAGGAGGACAAAAATATCCAGCTAAATGCTCATGATCAAAAAGCGAAACAACTATTGAATCAATTTACCAAAGGTAGTTTGAACACCAAGGTTATAAAAGTCGGAATTAAAGGGATGGAGCAACATCCTAGCTTCTCGAGTTTCAAAAGGCAAACGAAAAATTGGGGTCAATATGCCATAAAGCTCTTCGAAAATATGACTGTAAACTACAAAACGTGGATAATCTACAATGCATCATCACCATTAGAGAAAAAAAATCAAATAACAAAGATAAGCAGCAAAGTGATGTTCACAAACTTACCATAAGTGATAGGCATGTTGACGATAAGAAAATAATCATTGAGTTGAAACTCTCAGTTACCTCGAATGAAAAAAAAAAAAAAAAAAGAAGCCCTCATTCGAAGAAGCCACTTGAGCAAGGAGATTACCAAACCGGGACAGGCTATAGAGAAGCGAGGAGAAAAGTAATAATATCTCTTCTGTGGGTTCACAATATTTCCCAACGACATGGGATGATATAATGAATGAAAGATATCAGGGATAATTTTTCTCGGTAAGCCTACGAAACTCCATAACAAAAATGACCCAAACAATTGAGTCCATAGGTCATATGTAATGAAGAAAGAATTTCTCAAAAAAAGGGATGGAAAGGGACTTTAAGTCCCATATCCATCGAATGCTTATAAATGGCTATATAGCTTGTGGACGTGCAATCTGCCATTTGAAATGGCCCAGAATATAAAAGCTCTGTTATTAGGGATGTTGAAATGGGTCATAATGTCAACCAAGTCCTGTTCAAAAAGATTGTTGGAGACTCCTAAATCCTTAAAAACATTCCTTGTGTTTTTGTTAGGGTCAACCTATGCATTAGAGGTTTCACCTGCCACATTGTGTGTCCCAACCTCAGATTAAAAGTTTCTTGCTTGGCCTTAAAGCCCCAGGTTAATGTATATACCCGAATGGATAAAAAAATCTTTAGGGGAGCACATCAAAATATAAAATCTCTACTGAAGAAGAAGAAGAAGAAGAAGAAGAAGAAGAAGAGGTACCGAAGTATCACCTCCGAAAATTGAAACCCTTGGAATTGAAATCGACATACGCACTCTGAGAATCAATATGGGGGGAAATGAAAAATGCTAGATGAAGATGCAAGATTAATTAGATAAAAATTAGAAAACTTGTTTGAGAAAAGTGAGACAGCAAGATGAAGAAGGTCAATTGGAGTAATGATATATTTATAGATTCTAACATGAGATACTAATAGTTTAAGTAGGTCAGTGATAATCACAACCGTTGAGCATAAATTGGCAATTATTCGAATCCCAAGGCAAGTTATGTGTGATCCACATGCACCTAAGGGAGTCATGGACGATTAACCAAAAAAAAAAAAAAGGTGAATAAGGCCCATATGCGATCACAAAATGGTAATGGTTGTCAACATGCTCCCCCGACCATCTGGAAAGAACAATTTAAGAATTCAATTGATGCTACACACTTTTTAGGGCAAAAATCTATAATTTTTGAGAGATTATTTTTCCCTCTCAAAACTTTTGTTAGTATAAATTGCCCGAAGTAGAATAGAAAATCCTTAATTAATATGTTTGCAAGGCCGGTAAAGTTCAGTGATCAAACAAGTTACTTATTATTCTCCAATGAGATTGCGAGTAGCATTCACAATCTTAATAGCGCGTGATATAACTTAGACCTTCTATGAATAGAAATTACTAATTCCAAACTAATCTTCGTCCTACCAAATCAACGTACAAACATTTAACCACATTGTACAATATTAAATGTTATACATTCTGTCTAAATGATACAAAAACAGTATTCTTGTTATCACACAACCCAGAAAGAGGGGAGACCGAATTAGAGCGATCAGTAAGAGAAAACAAAGAAAAGTGGCTTCAATTTTCTGATTCAGAAAATAAAATTGAAGGGAAAAAGAAGAAATTTAAAAATGCAAGTAAAATTTGAAAGGTAAAGGAGCAAATTGAAGAAGCTACACGGGTTTCAAGAAACAAGCGAGAATTCAAGAAAATAATAGCTGAGTTTTTTTGTGATTGTTATTTGGCTGAATCGAATCGGGAGCTTCAATAAGGTCAGCCCAATAATTTTCTCCTCTGTGAAATGATATTTTTCTTCATTGTTTGAAACTTCTGTTCTTTTATGATCCATTTTCTTCATTCAAGTTTGAATTCTGTGAATGAAAACCTGAACTTGAAGTTGAGAATTCAAGCTTGAAACTTTTATTGAAAAATTGGAATTTGGTTTATTGCGGAATTTTGTGGAAATACATGAACTGTGGCGGGCTTACTTGGAGTTACAGGGAGGTATCTTTAATGGGTTTATGAAGTTCATTTAAAGGCAAGGGTTTTTGTATTTTAGTTGAGGTTTTGGGCATAGTGTTGAAAGTTTGGACGTTTTTTGGATTGGGTTTTTGGAGGGAGAGTTAATTTAATTGAAAATTTGAGATCTCTTGGCCAAGTATTTTGTGTAAGGATTGAGTTTTTGGAGATGGGTTTTGGTTTGACATCGTTAGGGTTGTTATCAGAAGGATTAAATGTTGTTTGGAAGATGGGTTTTTGGAATTGGAACCGAAAAATACTAATTTAATTTGAGGATCTCTATCATTGTTGTCTTGAAGAGTGCTTCTTTTACATGGATTTTGAGTGTTGAAAGAGCCAGAGAGATGCAACCACCAAATCATCATTCGCGGATCAATATTACTGAGTTTAAAGTTCAGATTGTGAGGAAACTTGGGCCGGAGATGTCCAAGCAGTATTTTCATTACTTGAATAGCTTCTTCAGTTTGAAGTTGAGTAAGGTAGAGTTCAATAAGCTTTGTCTTAGAATTCTTGGGCGGGAGAATATTCCACTGCACAATCTGTTTATTCGATCAATACTGAAAAATGCTTGTAGTGCAAAAGTCCCACCACAGGCAACTTACAATGATGTTGTGAAGCACGGTACACAAGTTAATATCAAGGAGATTTCAACTGATGGTTATCATCAAAATAAACCCCAATCCACCATGAACCAGGCTTCTGGTTTGCCAGGTTCGGCATATGGAGGTGACATTTTACCCGTCTCACCCAAAAAAGCTAGGACTGGGTCCCGTGATCGGAGGACTGGAGAACGTCGTAGTGCACTTGGACCAAATGATGAAACAAGTTTTGCATCTCAGCACTCGACTGCTACACAGTCGAGTGATTTCAATGTCATCTTGGATAATGGGAACCTGAATCCACTTGATGGGAGGCCAATGCAGCATCGTCAAGAACTCATGCGGCAAGAAGGGAATGAAACGATAAATATATCATCAAATGGTCCTGTTTCTGTACATAACAATGACTCTACTGAATTGCTTGTAAGAGATGAAGGGAAAGAGGTCAATGCAAAGAAACTGCTTAGAGCTCCACTTGGGATTCCTCTATGCCCAGTCAGCATTGGTGGGGGCCGCAAAGCTCTGCCTCTTTCAAGTAGCAGTAGACATTTTAGCACTTATAACAATGGTGCTTTGTTAGACAATCTAACATTAAGGGAAAGAATGGAGCAGATTGTTGCCGCACAAGGTCTCGAAGGGGTGTCAATAGACTGTTCCAACATACTGAACCATGGTTTGGATTGTTACATGAAAACTTTAATCAGGTCTTGCATTGAACTTGTTGGTGCTAGGTCTGGGCATGATCTAACAAAATGTAATATCTATAAACACCGGGCTTATATGAAGCTTGTTAATAGTGTCAGACCAGGTCATCAACAGCAGATGCAAATTAGTGGTCGGCCTTTGGATTTTCAAGAACAGAGAACCCACGGCCCCATTTCCTTGCAGGATTTTAGGGTTGCCATGGAGTTGAATCCTCAGCAACTAGGCGAAGACTGGTCGTTGCTGCTAGAGAAAATATGTACACATGCATTTGAAGAGTAACGGGACTTGAGCTAATCATTTTTCGCCAGTTAAGTATAAATAGGTCTTGTTAAATCAGAAAGGCATGCTTCTGATGTTTTCCTCAGGCACTGGATGGCCTTGATATGGTGATTTCTCATACATTGGCCTTTTGAACTGGTGCCATTAAAGTAAAACACCATCTCTTACAAGATGACAGGGAAGAGCAGGTATTGGTATTTCATCCTGCTACACAGCTTCACTTCATTGGAAAGTAGCCGATCATCCGCAACCTTGAATTCAGATGAGAAGATGACCATATTTGGTTGCAATAATGTACAATTAGCTTATTTCTCAATTCGATGTTCCACTTTCTCCTGTAATTTACAGAGTTGAGAAAGTTTAGAACAGTTTTGCAGGAATAATTTGTGTAGTACAATATTTCAGCCAAAAAAATGTGGAATTGCAATGCAAGATCCATGTGTATGTACCAAGATTAAGATTGATTGGTATCAGAATATTAGCAACAAGTTGTCTTATAATTTGCTTTTCCCAGCTTTATACTGAAGTTTGCATATTGGTTTATTGTATATATCATGATCTTCATTGTGTATTTCTCTGAATTCATTACATAAATTTTACAAGTTATTGTATAATTGTTGAAGCCATCTTCTTGGCTTGACTCTCTTCACTACTATGAAAAGATTATCGAGTTTCAGCTTTAAGAGGCCCGGGAAATGGAAAGAATTTGTAGAAGTGTACTACTTGCATGCTGAAGAAAGAAGAATAACATGATACAGAGATCGTAACAAAGAACTGTATAGTATCTAAGGACTAGTCCCCAGTGCCTTTTGGCAATTTATATTCACCATATACTCCCAATTTGGCCATCATCACATCTCCATTCTCCTCAGTGTTCCCAACAAAAACGTCTTAAAGCTTGGACTTTCTGATATCAGCTTAAGGAAATGCAGATACACTTGTATTAGAACTTCCATAGAAATCTTAAGAGTTCGTTCCATGCTTCTTTCCCACTCTGGGTTTTCTCTTCTTGAGTACTCCGGCATATTTTCGTGTAAATCATCGACCATAGCAAATATCACATTGTAAAACAAATTAATACAATTTTGGTGTGAATAAGAGTTTTTTGGCTTGTATGAAGCTTTTCTGTGGAGACATGACAGCGTGGTTTCTTACTTCTTCTCTCCGGGCTAAGGTTATCCTTTTAAAGATCTCCTAACCTTTGAAAATATGTAACGAGATTATGACTTTACTGAATTTTCTTATGCAGAATAGCTTCTTGTGTTGCTTATAAAACTTGCATTACTTCCAGGATCTGAATATCCACTTCAATGCCATTGGACGAGCAATTTTGCCGAATTTGCCATCAAATCCATTATTTTCATGTTCTTTTCAATTGGGCTGTTTCTGAGTGATACAAAGCCAAATGCACAGTCAATGCAGTAGGAATAGTTCGTCGGTGAAATGTGGTTCATCCGACGTCAATCCGATTAAGGCCTTAACCCCTTGTCATTATGTTTCGGGATGACGTCCAGTAACTGAAAACAAATGCCGGAGTGACTTCCATCCTAGATGTTATGTTTGTGATCATCCTAGATGTTATGTTTGTGATTCAAATTCCACGTGATTTGAAAATTTGATTCATGGAGGAAGCCTACATAATGTTGGTTTAGAAGTTCAGTTTGATAAAAGATCAAAATTTATCATGGGTTGGAAGTTTGATTGGGAAAAAGACTTTAGATTGATGAAGTATTTCGAAAACACAAGGACGGAGCCGGGCCGCCGACAACACAAAAGGAGTCAGCAAGGCGTCGGGGCAAAGCCTATTCGGGCCAGCGCCACCGGTCGAGAAGAGTTTTATTACCTGTTGATTTCAAACGCGATTTTTTGTGCTCTATTTCATCCATAACTCAAAATTTGGACTCGTATATATACTCCACAAAGTGTAGGCTCTTCATAGACTTAACATAACAATTAGATCATTGTTGTATACATTAGAAACTTGAGAGAATTGTTTAAATTTAGATTGAGAGTATTTAATCTTATAAACACAATTTTAATTTCTTGGTATATGAAATTGTTCTCTCCTTCCACATAAATCTTGTGTTGTTGTGTGATCCAATATTCTTCATATTGCTTATTTTCTCGATCTTTAATTATTTGGTCCAGATTCTCAACATATTGGTATCTGAGCAATTCTGGTGTCTGGTTTGTTTATAACACCAGATGTGTTTGCAATTTCTCTGGATATTCCACAATGATTTTGCTTACCGACTCCTCTAGGCACAAGTATCAAGAAATCTCGTCCAAAGAAAAACAATGGACTTTAACAAGAGCTTCTCAACTGTGTTGAATTGGCCCGAAGCAAAGAAGCTTGAGCCACATCTTCATCTGGGCAACAATGTCCTCAGTAAACAGAATAGGCGAAAATTGAGGAAGTTGTGTGACCTCCAGCAAGTAATCATGATAATGTGGCCAAAATGTTGAGAATCAGTGTGTAACACAGATTTAGATCCCAACAGTTTATTCTCAATTGGAGTGCAGAACTTTTGGCCGCAGCAGAAATATAAGACAGCACCCGAAATTAAGCAATGAATCATCAGGTAAACTAACACTAGTGCTGAAGATGTTACCAATAGAACACTGTAGAATGATCTTAAGATTTTGTTCAAATTCACTAACACAATTATTTAGAGAATCTTTTACACTCTCCAGTGACAGGAAACTTGGAGACTGGCCCATTATGCCAGAATTCAGGTGTCTTCCTCCGAATTTAGGATCATGACTGGGAATAGGAACCTGGTTCCGATCTTTCATAAATTGGGAAGTCAGAATCCGAATCTGAAGCATTTTCAGGTTCAATAACAGATTGAGGAAGTAACCTAAGCCTTTTGAGCTTCAATAAACAGTAAATAATGGTTCTCCAACCTCCTCAAATAGAATCCTTGAATGTATTTGCAATTGTGAAAACTGCCAAAAGCCATTTTTGGTATCGTTGCAGGAAGCATAGAAGGTTTCTTCTACAGATGCACAAGGATTTAGTAATGTTGTGAATTTGCGGAATGAGAAAAGAATTTCATCAAGAGTGTTCAAGTCCATACTGAGCTATTGTAGCTATGAGCAGTCCTGGAGGTTTGCTTCTTCGTCAGAATGTTCCAATATTGCGGCAATTGTTGCCACTGAGGGTCCAGCAATAGCAGTAAACATATCTCGTCCCAATCTACGATTAAAATCACGTAAGATGGAAGAATGAATAAGCATGCCTCGGTCTATCATTTGGATCCGTCTATTTGGATTCATTTGTACAGGTGCTCCAGTGCTTGATTGACCATGAAGAACGATTGTGCTGGTTGAAATTGAGTGGAAAAGTTTGGATAGATATTCTCGAGGGAGATCATTTCCTCCATTGATTTGTTTATTGCTTCTGATGAACTCCTTCTGTCATTTTCTTCTCGAGGATTGTGTAGATCAGTGTTGAGCATAATATGTGAATAGCATAGGATATAAGCAAAGGACTAAGTCTGAGAATGGGGCAAGGCCAAGGAATGCCCATCTCTTTTCATTTCGTGGGGTGCTGCATCCTTAGTAACTAAAATTTCCGAAGACTGCGGATCATAAAATATTTTTGAGAATGCTCCAAGAATTCTCTGGATTTTCTGAATTCTCCATGCAATCTGAAAGCCTCCAAGTAAGTTCGAAGGGCCAAAATCATTCCCGTGAATTGGAAGGTATCCGGGAATTCTTTTAGGACCAACACAGAATTCATGAGGATCTCCGAGATAATCCCGTCATGTTGTTGTCTAATCTGGGCATGTAACAGAAAAAAATACAGCATAAGCATTTGAATCCAGTGGATCTACAATCAACTGAGAAATTTTCAGGTATTCTAAACCCTTTTTGTCATAGCGATTTAAATGATTTCCCGTAATCAATATCTTTCGTTTCTGAACCTTTCAGACTCTCACATAACCCACCCAAGACTCGACATCATCATCTTTATACTTCTCTTCCCAGAATGGTAGACATACCCAGAAATTTCAACTGGGTACGGTCCAGTGTGGCTTGGTTCATTGTCCTTATTGATAAGTGTGTTTTCTAACGTGTATTTAGCTGCATTACATGACTAATTGTTGGCTTTAATGCTTGAATATGGCTTAATTCGACATAAATTGTGTTTGTAGGATTATAATGATGAACGTAGTGAAAATTCGAAAAACAAGCGAAAAAGGACTTAAATGAAGCAAAAGCAAAGTATGAGGACTCAATTGCAAATACTGAAAAGTTATGTCAATCTCACGATGAAGATTTGAGAGTTTTGGGTATCAATTGGATGAGGAAAGAAGCCAAAGGGATGAAATAGAATCGAAATACTATCATAAATCAACTTCTAGCCGAAAAAATTATGCTTTAAATTTTCAGTCTTAGTTTGAGACCCATTTTTGACATAGAAGACATTTGAATTTGAAGATTAATATATCTGGACGATTTGTATCCCTTTAAGTAAGCTTTCAAACACATTTTGAATCAACTCAATTGGATATCAGGAGAGAAAGATATGACCAAAATATCGAAAGCTGTCCGACGGGAAAAACATGGAAACCATCGCATGGTATAAATTCCATGCCGTCGCCTAGGCCTTGACAGGAAATTCCAGAGACACAATTGGTTGTTCCAGGTGGTCGCATGGCATATAACCATGCGGTTGCATGGAACAAATCCGGCGCGAAATTTTTGATTTCTTTATTTGAATCAAGCATTTATGGTAACGCATTTAAAACTTCTTTATAACCCTAATCTCGTCTAGAATAAGGGTTTATGCATTCTTAGGGAGAAAAACAATATTGAGGAGTAAGGAAGAAGGTTAGAACAAGGGATTTCATTTAAAATTCAAGATTTCAAGCCTAATTTCTAATTTTTGGGTGATGTCTTCTTTTTACTATTTTTATTGTTCTTTTATTTTATCCATATTTGGCTAGACTTTTATTGTACTAGGTGAACGATGAACCTTGCATTGTGA